CGCTTTAATGCCTATACACTCAAACCAGAATTCAAATGTTTGGATTTTTGATAATATTAAGAAACCAAATAAAATTAAAATCCCGTCGAGTTTTGTTAAAGGAAGTATAATGAAGAAGATTTTAATTTTTGTGAAACAATAATTTTTTTAGAAAATACGACATTTAAATGTTAAACTCTATTTGCATCTTCTTACAATTAAATACAGATTTATTAATTTAGCCCTTGTTTGATCTTCTAATTATATTTTTCTTTCTTCTTTGCAACCACACGTTTTCAATAAAATAATATTACACGTAATTCCAAAAAAATTTCTTAGTTTTAGTCACTCATTCTCCAGTAATCTCTATTCCAAAATGCATTATTAGTCAAGAATTGGACTCAAGCAATCGCTTAGTATTGAGTGCAAAAAAAGGAAGTCAATAATTCAAAATCCTTTATGAAAGTCAATGGTCAACGGAATAATCAAACTTAAGATATGAATATTAATTACACGTACAAGCCTACACGTCTCTAACGTGATATAGCCAATTTTCAACCTACCTTGGTTTGTGCACAAGCAAACATTCTACAATGGTTTCTCCTCAAACTGAATAAAATAAAACAGTTTTATTCATAATCCAATCTAAAGTCTTAAATCACTTAATTCAAGTAATAAAACAGTAAACTAGTGAGTGAAAAGTCATTCACTATGTGCACAAATGACGATTTGCTAAAATCAATTATTAAAGAAATTTTCTTAAATACGTAAAAATCAAATAATATAATAATGTAGAAAAATAGACAGTGCAATTTCCAAGAATTATACACGTACCCCGCAGCCAGTATCAATGGCCGTCCTCACAGAGCCGTCTTTAAGGTTGATTAATTTTCCGATGTCATCAATGTACGCATCGGCGCCACGTGGAAACATAGTTCCACCGCCGGGGAAACTGAACCGGTCCCCTTGAAATTTGACCCAGTTCTGGCCGGCTTTCTCGACCGTCAGATGTTTGTGCGGTACATTAGCAAACCAAACAACATCTCGACTCTCCGGCCATCGGAACGGTGTTCTATATCCATACGGCGCCGGAATTCTGCACTTCAACAATTCATGCTTCTCCGGACAATGCCTTTCCCTGTAAACAAGCATCTCTCTGGCGAATTTCAAAGATCTTTCTGTATCTTGGCATGGAGTGTACTCGGAGAATTTTGAATCGCATGCAGGGAAGTGCTTGACACGCGCCGATGGTTCAACTGGGACTAG